CCCTGCGTCTTCTGGGTTGTCTTGGTGGCGAAGCGAGGCGGGAGCATCGCAGCAGGGGCTCTGTAACTCAGTGGCCGTTGTGGCTTGTTATTCTAGCTCCCACCGAACTCCCGAAAACCCATTGTGGTTCTGAGCACTTACAGGCTGCGGTGGGCCTAGCGGTCATGCTGATTATCGCCTAAATCGTTCATAAAATCAGCTGCCGTTCAAATATTTCGGTATTATCCCGTTCTTTCCTCCCCACAAAGTTTGTGCTTTTGAACTACGGTGCATTGAGGAAGTTTCAGCTAACTTGAGGCACTTACTGCTGGGCTGTTCAGTTAATTACACTAATGTTGTTAATAATACAGATTAATGTTGCTTGTCTGCATTCCATACTCTTGTTGCATTTTTGGAATATGTTTTCTATTGGAAAGTGGTTTAATGTTCAGAAACTGATTGCAAAGTCTTGTTTTGAGATATGATCCTGAGAGCCCTTTTCTGTGTAAGTGGTCCTGCGTACTGGATTAAGTTTTCATAGTTTTATGTCCTGGATCTGTATTTGAGATTCTGAATTGCGCCCAAAGCTGTAGGATGTGGTGGGAAATCAGTGAGGGAAAAGCAGGTGAGTAGGAGAATAATGAATTAGGAGAATAACCACACACTGCTGTTGAAATACAAGTTTCGTAAGTAAGAAAACAGGGGTTGCTTTTTCTGTTTTCTCTTCCTCTTTCTTGCCTTCCTACTTTGCCCTCTTCAGCTCTTGTTTCAGTGCATTGCTTTGTACTAGTACAGACTTTGCAGGCCAGTTGGTAATCTTAAACACATTGCTTAAGCTTTTTTGTGTGTGTCTGTGTACCTGGCTTTGGGATGGCTGTGCCTAATGGCTACAGGACCAATGTTGTAACTGCAGTGGAAGCGAGTTCTCTATGGTTTGGAAGTTATGTATATGGGTGACTTAAAAATTCACTTTTTTTTTTTTCTCCTTGTTCCAGATGGAAAAGAAGAGTTCATGGTTTCTGGTGTGCATAATAGCAGAGGCTAAGTAGGCATAAAGGAGACTGTAGTGCGGGTGAGAAGTGTCAAGCCCTTTGCAAGGCTTTGCACAGTAAAAAAGAAGACATGAATCCTACAAATGATGATCCGGTGTTTGGGACCATTTTTGACTGGGACTATCTTTTATGGGAAGTTCGTTTGACATTTTTAGCTGCTGGTTTTTTAATCTACCTGGGAGTATTTCTTCTGTCTCACTGGTTGTCTTCATGGATAAGTACCACTTATCGTGCCTTGTATGCAAAGGAGAAGGTGTTTTGGAATATGGCGGTCACACGTGGTGTGTTTGGACTTCAGAGTTGTGTTGCTGGATTATGGGCTTTGCTCATAGATCCTGTTTTTCATGCTGACAAAGTGTATTCACAGCAAAAGTGGAGTTGGTTTAACTGTTTAATAGCTGCTGGATTTTTCTTGCTTGAAAATGTAGCTGTTCACGTGTCCAACATTATTTTTAGAACATTTGATGTGTTCTTGGTAGTTCATCACTTGCTTGCTTTTGGTGGCTTGGCTGGTCTAGTAATTAATGTGAAATCTGGACATTATCTGCCTTTAATGGGAATGTTGCTGGAGATGAGTACTCCCTCAACGTGCATTTCCTGGATGCTTCTAAAGGTAAGAACATGGTAATTTTCAAATTATGTTTGTGAGTTTTTGTATGTAGTGAGTTTTTTTTCTCGCGTGTCCGTTGGTAGTCTGTGTAGTTTGTCTAAATAGCTTTTCAGCAAAACTGCGTTCATCTAACTGATATATATGTTACTGTGATACTTGCTTTTGTTGTGATATTTCTGTAGTCCTCCATATAGGTTTCTGTGTGATGCTGTGTGCATGTGTATAGTGAGATGGTATAGATTCATTCTGAGTTTGGGATGCCGTATGCATGTGGAATATTGTATCTCTACATGGGAAAAAATGCCTGAGAAAGATAGGTATTTGCATTAGTTCTACAGATTCCTCAGTGCCTTATCTTGAAGTAACAATCTCACTTCTGCATACTTTCTGTTCTTGTTTTTCTAGGCTGGCTGTGCTAATACCTTTTTCTGGAAGGCAAACCAGTGGGTGATGATCCACCTGTTTCACTGCCGCATGATTCTTACTTATCACATGTGGTGGGTGTGCATTTTCAATTGGAATTCTGTGGTAGAAAATCTGGGACTTCTTCATTTTATTGTGTTATTCTCGGGATTATTTGCTGTTACTTTAATACTTAACCCATACTGGACATACAAAAAAACTCAGCAACTGCTCAGCCCGACTGACTGGAACTTTGAAACTAAAGCAACGGAAAATGGAAAATTAAATGGCGAAACACATCAGAAGAAGAGGATATAACACTGAAACAGCTGTTTCCTAGTAGGATAGCGGAAGAATACAATGCAAAGTAATTCTTTGCCCATGAACTAGAAGCTTTTGCAAGAAGCTCATTAACACAGTGATTCCTTGCTGGTAGTATTCTGTAGACACCAGAATTATTTAAAAGCGTTGTTTGTGTTTCATATCTGCATACGTGTAAGATCTTCAACCTCTTAATTATGAATTATGCCAACAATTTTGTCAGGTTGGACAGTATTTCATGATTTAGTAGTGACTTGCTCTCTAATGGTATCCTTTGTCCTAATGCTTCAAAGCGTCTTAACAGTTAATTTGTCTATTAAGCTCAACTTGAATCAAGTTTAGCTTAAATCCTATTTCACATATGCGAGAGATACTGATACTGGAAATTATGTTAAGTTGTTTATTAAGATCAATTATGACCCAAGTTAGGTATGCATGGATACCTAGTTCTGTGTGCCATTAAGTCATTCCAAATGGCTTAATCGGTCAGTGGTAGAATGCAGTCATGGATGGGTTTTGGGTAGGGTTTTTTTTGGTTTGTTGTTATTTGGGTTTTTTTTTCTCCCCCTTTTAAGTGCACTTGAGGAAGAGGAAGATAATTGACAGTGAACACTCAAAGTGAGTTGTAGTTTCCAAGGTTGCCCTCAGTTCGTATCCACCACAAACATGCATGTGGCAATGCAGGCATTCGTTATACTGGTGGTCCAGCTAGGTAATCATACTGATCCCTTCTGGACTTGAAATCGGTTAAGTACAAGAGGCAACAATAGAATGTTTGACTATGTTTCATCCTTGAAAAGACTGCTGTGTGATTGGTAAAGTTTGCTTTTTTTTGTAGGTCCCACAGTGCTCGTGCAATTAATTCTACTAGTGCTCCTGTTATAGTTCCTCTTATTTTTGGAAATTGTCTTAGTTATAGAGGGTTTTAGAACTGAGGTGACTCCTCTGTAGAGGAAAGCCCCTATTGCCTCCTTTAGGAGTTCAGTTGTTCTTTTAGTATTTTTATTTTACTTTGAAGAACATACAAAGTGACACTAACAATCCTTTGCGCTTTATCTGCCACACCACTAAATCTTTCCTTGACCTAAGGAATAGGATTGCATTTTAAGTAGAAGGGGCTTGGCAAATTGTGGTGGGTGTTCTGCTGCTTATAGTATTGGTCTGATGGTTCCTGCGTGAAATTTTGGACAGTGGACGACAGTATAAAGATCACAATAGAAGAGAGTGACACCTAGTGGCAGGAGAATGACAAAGATACTAATTAGTTTGGACGCACTGAACTAGTGACATAAAAAGCCTGTCATTTCATACTTTGCATGGTGTGACGTTCTGCTAGGCAGATTTATTTTCCAAAGTAATATGACTTGGCAAAGCCAAGCTGTGAAGAATTTTAGGTCAAGGCAGGTGTCAGAGGCTTTGTGTAGTGATCTGTGTTGAAGCATACTGTTTTAAATATGTAAGGGAAACACTATTTAGTGTAAACAACTCCATTTTATTAATTTTGTGTGTGAATGTCTTTGATTTTGATCTAAGTGAAGGGAGGAAGCCAGTGATTAGCTTGCAATGTTCCCTAATTCACTTTGCATGGGCATAGCATTGAAAGGCTGCTCTGTGAGGGAGAAGAAACTTCTAACTATTAGATCACAGATGTATTGCCAGATCTTCTTGACAATGATGAAGTGGTGAATATCTAAAATTGGCCATTCAAAACTAGGCTGAGAGGTCATAGTAATTTTACACAGCAACACTATCTGTTATCCTGCTGATATTCAGTAGAGAAAATGTAAATTTTATGCTACCTTATTGTTTCTAAGCCGGGTAAAATGAGGTTGTAGTGTTTTGGTGGTATGGCCTGTCTGGATGCCATCCTATAGAAAAAAGGGTTCTCTAAAGCTGAAAATGACGTACCTCTCCTGAGGGGATGTGTGTGAGAGAGAGTAATGTTAAAAGTACTTTAGACGAAAGCAGAGGGGTGAATTCCTTGGAAACAGAACCCAAATATATGATCCAAATGCATATCGTGTAGAATCCAAGCCTCACTTGCAGGAGTTCTTGGGGGGGCAGGTGGAGGAGAAGTTACCGAGTAACAAATTGATGGTGTACTCTGCAGCTTAAAACTTAAAGGTCTGGATTCAGTAAAACAAGGTAATAACTATGAAAATCCCAGCTGCAGAATTCTGAAGAATCCTAGCAGAAAATGGAAGCATCAGAAGAGAAATAAGTTTGGGCCAAGTGTGTAATTCTCACAGTGGCTGCCTAAAGTAAAGGAGATGAAATTTCCATGTGCTAAAATAAAACAATATGGAGGGCTGGGGTTAGTAGAGAATTTGGAACTGATAGAAGAGATTAGGTGTGGTCCAAGCAGACAGGTGGATAGTTATGTTACTGGCACCAGATTTCTGAAGTTTAATATTTTGTATTATTAATTTGTATAATGTTACTAAGTGGATTTTAAATCTTTCATTTAAAGCATTTTTTTAATCACAATAAGGCAGTCTTTTTTGTATGTATCTTAGTGTGAGCTTTTTCACGCAGAGACTGTTATGGCATATCTCAAACTTTTTGCATGTCTTAACTATATAATAATAACTATATAAAATACCTAAGAACACCTGTTAACCTAAACACTGCTAGACCTGATAGAACAAGAGAGCTATGCAATAAAGAAAAGAACAGTACTCAGTTTATTTCTGTTGGTTTGAGGGGTGAGGGGATTTTACAGTCCAGCTAGAAATACAGCAGGACATAAAAATACAGACAACCTTTCTTCTTCATCTTGATGACTGAGAGTTGGAGTTACTGGTTCTGTTACACGGAGCCTCTCTCTTTTATACTCAAGTGTTTTCTTCACTGCCTTTTGGCTGCTCCATTCTAGAGGATTTTCTGTTTTGTGATTGTGGATGACTGTCTCATTGCTCTGAAACAAGACTGAAAAAGTTCTCTAACTGAGGGTTTTGGTGTCTAATTACTCTAATAACTAAGTGCTGCTTTTCAACCCAAAGGTAGACTAGCCATAGTTTGTTTATAAATTTTGCTAATGTGAAACTAATCCCAGTCCTGTTGGGCCTGTCTTATAAGGCCTTATCCGCAGTCCGATGCAGAAAAATTCACAGGGTGTGCTGCTGCTGTGATTTGGAAAACTCTTGCATAATATGTTTTGGGGTGAATTTTTTGTTTGCCTAGGTGACTATTAGAGATTTCATCCTGCTTTCTTGTGGGACAGGCTTATTCAAGGAGTGCTGTTTGTGTCACCCTTCTGGCTGAAGCTTTTTTTTTTTTTTTTTTAAGAAAAGAGGAAAACAAACCCCAAACAAACAACAAACTATTATGGGGGTGGGGGTGTTTGAGGTTTGAGTGGGGTTTTTTTTTGTTTGTTTTGTTTTTTTGTTTTTTTTTTTAAAGAAAAAATGTCTGATATAAGACACCCTGGCCAGGCATCTGGTTCTTACTGTCTTTGTGCAGCGTTCCGAAATGACAGTTGTGTTTGCCTCCATTTGTGTCCTGTCTTATGTTTTTTCCAAAACCTGTCATCATTTCTCTTTCCACCCACCAATTTTTGTGTAAGCTGTACTCTTACTTGAGTGCTGGTCATGATCTTGCAGCAGTCATGTTATCACAGTGATGTCTTTGTCTAATAGTTTTCAGCACGTACTGTTGGGCCCTTCTTCCACTAAATACCCATGTCCAAATCTTTCAGGTTTTTTTGCTTGTTCCTGATAACACTGATTAAATATTGATGTCATGTCTAGTTATAAGACACCTTTCTTAACCTCAGGGAGACTCCCACTTAAAGTGAATTTAGAAGTGTTAAGCAAGTCTGCTCTCGTACAACATAACGTTTGTTGAATGGTACAGTATCTTTGCACCGTGTACATAAATAAAAGTATTTTATTGAATAATTGTCTACTGTGAGTTTCATTTACAGATGAAAATAATGCCTTTTATTTTTACTTGATATTTGTAGCTTAAACAGTTTTTGCAGAGCATGCACTGAAAAGATGACTTGTTTATTTTGAAATATTATGTTAAACTTGACAAAGGTAATGTTGTGTCTGTGGAAATAGCTATACTACTTCTAAACTAATGTCCCTTCACTGACATTTAACATATTAACACGAATATGTTTAGTTACATGACTAAAACACTAGAAGCTGTGCTATATGTAAGTATGTATTAAAACAGTTAAAAAGCAGACTTCAGAAAAGGGGAAATAACCCATCTGGCTTGTGTATTTGAAGTGTGTGGTCTATTTTTGCTTTAGGCTGTAACTGTGAAGACACTTCATTTGGTACCACATGACGCTTCACGGTTTAGTATGAGCCACCTTAATTTAAAAAGAAAAAAACCGACAAAAAACATGTCTCATTGCTAAATAACAAAATACAACTCTAAGCGTTGAACATGTCTTGTGTGGTGCTTTGGAGGAAGTCATGATGCTTTTTAGCATTAGTGAGTTAAAGAAAAATAGTGTCATTAACTGGCATTTTAATTACTCTTATAAGAATGCACTGTGTAAGCAACTGGCTGGCATAAAATTTCGCTAGCTGCCTCTGCAGTGAAGTCCCCAAGATTAATTGAAGCAGAAGTAAGACGTTCATGTGTAAAGCTCTACTAACTGTGGAATGTGTGTGGGTACAGACTGGGATGAGAAGAACAATGCATAATAGTATTTGTATGAATAAAGTAATTCTTTTTTTTTTTTGGTAACTAATCTGTAAAAGGAATTTAAATGTTACGAATGTTTTGCTATTCAGATGTTTTCAATTAATAGGTAAATACATTTTACTTTTCTGGGAAAATGATAAGAACTAAGTATCAGAGCACATTTAGGCTGACAGTGTTATTCAGCAAATAGGATCTTTTGCTCTTGTGTCATGGCATTGGTATTTAAGTTGATAATTTGGAAAAAAAAAAAAGTGGCGGTCATTAATTAAGCAAATTATGCTTGTTGCTCTAGCTGTCAGCCCCTGGATGGGTTTCCAGTGTTAGAAGAGACA